TTGCCTCAAATCACATTCTTGGCATATGTGGTTATGAGCACCTTTTATTTTAGTTTTAGTTTTAGTGTAATGATGAGCAAACACTCCCCATGGTAGAAATGTGGCCTTTTTATTTGTCTGAAAAGTTCCATATATGCATCCCTGTGGTAAAATAAAATATTGTTTTTAAATATTCATTTTTTTCGAAGGAAACCTTACAGAAAAATGAGTTTTCTGACACAATAAATCATCTGGGAGCTCAGGTCATGATTCTTGTTAATTAATATTAATTAAAATTATGTATTACTTTTTTTTTAGTGCCAGTACCCAAACATGATGGCAAGCCTAGTCAAGGTAAGTGCAAGTGTGTTATAATGGCCAAAGGCTCTTCAATGGTATTTGCCAACTCCCTCTGTACCCTCGGATGCATTAAATACGCGCCCATAGATTTGTGCACGTTTACCTTTTCTAAATCATTCCTAACCCTTTTCTTTCCCCACCTGTCCACCTTCATCCCATATTGCGTCACTTAGTGCATTTCTCTGGGAGCCAACCTTATCCATGAAGACAGAAGCAAAGAAATCACTGAGTACTTCAGCTTTCCCCACATCATCTGTCACTAGATTACCTCCCTCATCCAGTAAGGGTCCCACACCCTCTCGATCACCCTCTTCTTGCTAACATGCCTGTAGAAACCTTTCTTGTCGCTCTTCACATCTCTTACTGGTTGCAATCCCAATTGCACTTTCACCTTCCTGATAACTCCCTTGAATTCTCGAGCTATACATTTATACTCCTCCCTAGTCATCTGTCCAAATTTCCACTTTTTGTAAGCTTCGTTTGTGCTTAAGTTCACCAAGGATTTCCCTGGTAAGCCAATCCAGTCTCCTACCATATTTGCTTCTTTTGCTGTGCATCAGGATGGTTACTTCCTATGCCTTTAATCAGGCTTCTTTAAAATACTGCCAGCTCTCCTGGACTCCTTTCTCCTTCATGTTAGTATTACAGGGGATTTTGCCCAGCAGGTCTCTGAGGGAGTCAAGGTCTGCTTTTCTGAAGTCCCGGATTTGTATTTTGCTGTTCTCCTTTCTTCCTTTGATCAGGATCTTGAAATCTACCATCTCATGATCACTGCTTCCAGGTTGTCACCCACCTCTACTTTCCCTATTAGTTCCGCCTTTTTTGTGAGCATGCGATCAAGCTGCTCACGGCGCCTGGCTGGATCCTTCAGCGCTTGTATCAAGAAGTTATCCCCAACATTGTCCAAAAACTTCCTGGATTGTCTGTGTACTGCTGTATTGCTCTCCCAACAGATGTCGGGGTGATTAAAGTCCCCCATGAGAACCAGGGCCTGTGATCTGGAGGCTTCTCTCAGTTGTCTGAAGAAAGTCTCATCTATGTGAGTCGGTGGCCTGTAGCAGACACCAACCACAACATCACTGCTGTTGTTTGCACCTCTAAACTTAACCCATAGACTCTCAACAGGCTTTTTCCTTCTGTATACTGGAGTTCAGAGCAATCATAGTGCTCTCTTACATACAGTGCAACTCCTCCTTTTCTCCCCCTCGTCTTCTTTCTGAATAGTTTATACCCTTCCATGACAGTGCTTCAGTCAGGTGAGTCATCCCATCAAGTCTATGTTATCCCAATCAAATCATAGTTCTTGGACTGGGCCAGGGCCTCTAATTCTTCCCGTTTGTTACCCAGGTATCTTGCATTTGTGTACAAACACTTAGATAACCAGTTGTTCACCCTACCTTCTCCATTCGAATCAGGGGTCCTCCTTTGTTGCTTGTTCCTCTTTGCATTTCTTCCCCGAATCCGATTTTCCTACTCACCTGAGGGCTTTGGTCACTGCCCCGCAACGAACCTAGTTTAAAGCCCTCCTCTCTAGGTTTACAAGCCTGCCTGCAAAGATGCTCTTTTTGTTAGGTGGATCCCATCTTTTCTTAACAATCCTTGTGCCTGGAACAGAGCCCCATGCTCAAAGAAACCAAAGCCCTCTCTCCAACACCACCTGCACAACCACACATTTCACGAGGCATCTGCCAACAAAGGGTTCTGAGGTCTGCAGATCCCCTTCTAGACTGCCACACTGTGCTGTCGAACAGCTGATCGTCACAGCACGGTGGCCATTTTGATGTAAATTATGTAAATGAAGCTGCGATTATTTAAATCGCCTCTTCATTTCCCTTTGCCATGTAAACTCATCTACATGGCTCCATCGACGGACCCATGTAGTCTAGACACACCCTTAGATGGCTGAATCCAAAATACAGATCCTCAGAGCCTTTACTCTCTGGCTGCCTGACCTGTAATTGTCTGTAGTCCCTTAGTATCTGCATATTCATTTGTGAAATACCTATGTTGCCTATATTTTGGCTGCTGGGCATACACAAAGCCAGATAAATCCTGAAAGTCAGGTGCCTCACTCACACTTAATTTTCAACAACATTGTCAAACTAGGCCCTGCCCCCCAGATCAGTCCTTAATAAAATGATGCCAAAAGAGGTGCCACCTACACCCTTAATGCCAGTAGTTCACTTGTTAGACCTCTCATGCAACACTTAGGAGACATACCCAGAAATGTGGTGGTCCCAACTGTCACCATTTAGGAAGAGTTCTTCAACAGACAGACAGACAAACAGAAGGAGAAGAACAAGGACCCCTTATATAGATCTTGGGTGGTGGGAGGGTTGTCTCTTTCATCTTCTCCCCACACATCCCTACACTCAAGTGTGTTCACACATATAAAACTCCCTGCCTTAAGCCCCTCCTCACCCTATCCTGATTCCTGCAGCCCATACACTACCAGTTCCCTGCTCTGAATCCCTTCCCCCCCCACATCCCCACTCCTAGCTGCCTATCCAGAGCCCATCCTCATCCTCACACCATGGCTTCTGCACCCCCACAACTCCAGCCACCTTCCCTGAGCCCCGCCACGCCATAGTGCTCCCAACTGTCTACCTTCAGCACCCTCCATCTCACACCACACTTACATTTCTTACAGGTACTCTTGTAACACACACACACACACACACACACACACACACCCTGCCCTGAGGGTCCTCCCAGGGGAAATTGTGATATGAAAGTGCCTGTATGAAATATAAGTTAGATCAAACCATGGAGCTGTAAACCATGGTTCCTTTAACATTTTGAACTTACATATCCCATCATTTACCCAATCACAGAAAAGAAAGGACCGGGTTATATAAAGAACACCAAAACTTCACCCTTTTTACACAGGAAACAGATAGAAATTATTCTTACAAGGAAGAGGAAAAATCATTTTGTCACAATGTAATTGCTAAAATGTAGGCACAATCTTTCCTTTTGTATCTATTTTCCACTCACCGTGCTCATAAACCAGTGCAGTTTTGGGGAAACCACGTGTAAAACATTTTATTTCCCTTAGGGTATGTCTACACTACCCCACTAGTTCAAACTAGCGGGGTAATGTATGCATACCGAACTTGCTAATGAAGCCCAGGATTTGACTTTCCCGGGCTTCATTAGCATAAAGCCGGCGCCACCATTTTTAAAAGCCGGCGCCGCCATTTTTAAAAGCCGGCTAGTGCGAACCCCGTGCCGCGCGGCTACACACGGCACGGACTAGATAGTTCGGATTAGGCTTCCTAATCCAAACTATCTGAGCAGTTTACCTACCTCTGCACAGTGGAAGGTGGAGGGAATCCGGCTTTTAAAAATGGCGGCGCCGGCTTTATGCTAATGAAGCCCGGGAAATTCAAATCCCGGGCTTCATTAGCAAGTTCGGTATGCATACATTACTCCGCTAGTTCGAACTAGCGGGGTAGTGTAGACATACCCTTAGAAACCTTAGCAAACAGGACGGGTAAGTCTGCAATCTGTGTGTTCTTTTTTCAGTAACATCAAAATATTTATTATTGTTTGATGAATATCAGAACTAAGGAGCTGTGCCCCCTGCTCACTATGGTCGCAACTACCCTCTTGGCTGGGGAGGGCCCAGACCTGAGGCCACCGGGCTCTGAATCTTACCACCCCACACCCTTTGCTGCCAGGGAGTCTCTGAGGTGGTCCCAGGTCCTGGCTTTTCCCCCTTGCTGCTGGCTGCCAGAGAGGACCCAGCCCCAAGGTTTCCATAGACCCAGGACAACCTCGGCGCTTGCCTCTCCCCAGCCACCTAGAGGGGGTCATCTGAGGCCACACCAGGCATGACTTGTCCACTGGCCGCCAGGAAGAGCCAGGCAAAAGCCTCACCAGGACCAACTTCCCCCCAGCCACTGGGAAAGGCGCAACTGAGGATCTTCACCTGTCCTCCCCCGGCAGGGAGGTTCTGATAACACCTTGGCCTTGGCCCTGGCTCTTCCCCCCTGCCTCCAACCTCCCTTGCACCTGGCCCCAAGTTTGAGGCTGCCTCAAGGCCACGTCATCTCTTGGGTCCCCTGGTCCCTTGCCGCCGGGCTTTTGCATCCCCTTGTAGGAGCCCCGCTCTACCACTAGCAACCAGGGGTGGGGAGACCAGGCCAAAGTCATGCTGGGCCTGGCTCTCTGTGTCCATTTGGTCCATTTAATTTGTCAAATAATTGACATTACAATTTTTTGTTACAAAAAGGCAAAAGATACAGTTTATAACAAATGACCCCAACAACCTAGAATCCTTCTGTATTTTTAAAATGGACAGATACTTCATTTGGTTGGTCATCTGAAGAAGTGGATTATGCCCAGGAAAGCTCATGATACCATCTACATGTTTTGTTAGACTTTTAGCTGCTACTAGACTATTTGTTGTTTTTTAAGTTTTTCATAGATACTTCATGATGCAGACAAATATGTGCATTCGATATTTTCAGTAACTAATAAACTAATAAACTTTTATTTTGTTCTACAGAAAATCCAGCTGAGGCTAAATTAGCCATCAAAATCAAGATTCTAATATGCGTGGTTATCCCCCTTCTTATCGGGATCGTTTTATTGTGTTGTTTATGTCTAAGTATGAAAATCTTCCTTCTACTTTTCTAATGTGTTTTCATTATTATAATATAAAGGCAAATTATCTGTAAAATGTATATGAGAAAGAGGATATTTCTAGATGAACAAAGTGTGTATTCCTTTCTTTCTTTCTTTCTTTCTTTCTTTCTTTCTTTCTTTCTTTCTTTCTTTCTTTCTTTCTTTCTTTCTTTCTTTCTTTCTTTCTTTCTTTCTTTCTTTCTTTCTTTCTTTCTTTCTTTCTTTCTTTCTTTCTTTCTTTCTTTCTTTCTTTCTTTCTTTCTTTCTTTCTTTCTTTCTTTCTTTCTTTCTTTCTTTCTTTCTTTCTTTCTTTCTTTCTTTCTTTCTTTCTTTCTTTCTTTCTTTCTTTCTTTCTTTCTTTCTTTCTTTCTTTCTTTCTTTCTTTCTTTCTTTCTTTCTTTCTTTCTTTCTTTCTTTCTTTCTTTCTTTCTTTCTTTCTTTCTTTCTTTCTTTCTTTCTTTCTTTCTTTCTTTCTTTCTTTCTTTCTTTCTTTCTTTCTTTCTTTCTTTCTTTCTTTCTTTCTTTCTTTCTTTCTTTCTTTCTTTCTTTCTTTCTTTCTTTCTTTCTTTCTTTCTTTCTTTCTTTCTTTCTTTCTTTCTTTCTTTCTTTCTTTCTTTCTTTCTTTCTTTCTTTCTTTCTTTCTTTCTTTCTTTCTTTCTTTCTTTCTTTCTTTCTTTCTTATAATTTTATGTATCATTTTAGAGGCAGTAATTATAAAAGTACAAGTGATGTTACGGAAGTGCTAGTCCTGTTTTTTAGACTTTGTATCTGTTTTATTGGCTATCATTTAAAATTCATTTTCTATTTATTGTAGGATTTGCAGTGGCCTTTGGCTATGATGCTAAATTTAAACACTTCTGCAACCTTTATTTAAACTAGTATTGAGGAGGGAAATTTGCTGGTGAGGGTGCTAAGTTTTACTAAAGAGAGGCTCCAAACTTGGAACCAGATTTTGACTCAGTCCTGAATGTATTTGTGGGTGTTTGGCTCCATCATTTGGGTCAAGGCACTGGAAACTGAAAAAAAACAAACAATCTATCTATATATTTTAGAAATAAGCAACTGTCTGTCTCTGAATCTGTTTGTTCAAGAACTCCTCCTAAATGAAAAGAATTAGGGTCTCCAAATTTGCCATGCAGCCTCTTCTTATCCTAAGCTAAAGCAAGGCCAGGGTTTGGTTATGCCACGAGAATGAGAAGTTCCTAGAATGGCACTGGTTCCCATAACATGGGAAGAAAGGGGACCATTGAGAATGACCACTGGGGAGAATGAGAACAGGAGAGAGCTGTATTACAGAGTGACCACTGGGGGCAGCTAAACATCAAGAGAGTGGCCCTTCCCTGAGCCCTCCTCAATATCCCAATCTGACTTTTGTACCTTCCATAGTCCTAACCTCCTGCTCTGCACTGCCCTCCATCCCCAGTACCCTACCCTGACTCTGCACATCTCTCACTGCTAGCTCCCTGCATTGAACTCATGCTATGCGGATAAGTATTCTAGTAGATAGAATCATAGAATCATGGAATCATAGAACACTAGAATTGGAAGGGATCTCAAGAGGTCATCAAGTCCAGTCCCCTGCCTTCACAGCAGGACCCAGTATATCTAGATGAAGGAACCATGTTTCTCATCTCCCCACTCAGTCCCTCCTATGTAGTGGAAATGTTCCTGGAGGAACTGTGAACCACTAACTTATGGTCTATAGAGTGGACATGAAACACCTCAGTAGTGGCTGCTGTGGCTGTAAGTTGTCCTACTGTAAGTCAATGTAAATTTTTAGGGTAGACTTGCTCTCAGTCTCAGCATACATTCTACCTCTGTGGGGCATGATCTTCTTGCTCAAATCTTATATTTAGAGGTGTGACGTGGGGTGGTGATAGTCGTTCTGGACATTCCTGAAGAGGAAGCTGGAAAAGAAGAGTTGTGCTAGAGGAGCTGTGGCTGTAAGTTGTCCTACTGTAAGTCAATGTAAATTTTTAGGGTAGACTTGCTCTCAGTCTCAGCATACATTCTACCTCTGTGGGGCATGATCTTCTTGCTCAAATCTTATATTTAGAGGTGTGACGTGGGGTGGTGATAGTCGTTCTGGACATTCCTGAAGAGGAAGCTGGAAAAGAAGAGTTGTGCTAGAGGATACATGTT